CGCGTAAATGGTGGCTACACTTTCACCCTCCCCTCCGCCCCTAGATGGGGATAGTATGTTTCTTAAGCCAGTCTATCCCTTTGCTTCTCTATCAGTCCATCTGTCTATATTTCGCGTGTCTGTCTGTCTTTCCGGTTGATCTTTCCTGCCCCTCAGATTTAACTGATTTGATTTTTGGTGGTGACTTAGCAACTACTTCAGTCTCCTCACAGGCGCAGAAAAACCTTATCCTCATGCAAGGTTATAGGTTCCTTCGAAACAAATATGTCGGAGCAAATATTGATGCACTATTGTTAATCACGTTTATGTACGTTCAGTTTACTTTTTCTCATCATGTCGAATGCATGGGAAAGACAAGGATTGGGCTAAGCAACGAAAATACTGGAAACTAGCACCTCTTTTAGATGTACAGCTCACTGTAATGCAAGCTCTTTTAAATACAGTTCTGTAGGTTCCTTATTGGGGTAAACGTATAACAGTGAACGAGGGTTTTTGTGCCATGCCGAGGAAAACGAGGAAATAGCAAGTAAGGCTTCCGTCCGGTGCCGGCTTGAAAGCAGAAAGTTCAGGCTTGACCTTCCAAGTATCAGCAAAGAAATATTTACAGCCATGGCTATACAAATTGGCTAAAGTAAGAAACACAATAGCTCTAGCGAGAAACGTGGTGCCCTGAGCTGGGATATTTATCAGATTCAATGATAACCACGTAAGGTCACAACATGGCGACTATCGAGGAAATCGAAGATTTTCGTACCCAATTCGAAATGTTCGCTGTTTATTCGTTGTTACTTGTCGTTTGTTCTAATAGGTCTATTAGAAATCAGTGAATAGATATTGATCTTCGCGTTTACTCAAGATGGTTCATTTAAATTCACTACAAACTCAATCCTTCCCTTGCATCCGACGCCAAGCCGCAGTTTGCTTCAAAAATTTCCAGTTCATAGGTTTCTAATAGCCCACGTACATGTCAACCTTGACACACGACCGTTAAAAATCAGCTTGGTAACCCTGCCTCCTCTTTAAACTGAGCCCCGCCGGGGACCACACCGTAACTTGGCACCCGTGGTGCTACGACAATTTCTTCATACCAAGAAACTGTGGCTTAGCGTCCGATGCGCGGGGAAGATTGAGTTTGTATTGAATTGAAATAAAACTAAAGTATATGTGCTTGGATTCTGCGTTGTATTTGTGGCCGCCCGGTCATTTTGCGTTGGGATTTTTTGCTTCTCGGATCGGGCGTTCGAAAATGGAGTGTTCAGCCTTTGGCTTTTCTTATGTACGTTGAAAACCTCGAAATGGACAACTCGCTAAAATGGATTCTTTTCATCAAAGAAAGCGGTCAGATCACAAGTGATACGCTGTGGAAGTAAGGTGAGGTATTTTTATTGAGAATTTGACGGATTGTTGTATTCCATAGAGCGGTCGTAAATATTCTCATACAAGCTCATATAATTCCGCCATGACTGTCACAGGACGAAATTGCAAGAATCCATAAACGGAAACGTGGCAGAAACATGTTAACCCGTTCCGGAAACACGACGGATAACCTGTGTTTCCGTTACCGGTTTCGTGACGTTTTCTCGCGTTTCCGTTGCTGCGTATACAACGGAACCGGACCACTTTTACGTAAACATAACAGAAACATGGAGTTGTATGTTTCCGCCAGCAGAAATTTTTTTTGGGATCACTTTCTGAAGGAGCTTAGAAACCAGGCTCAACTCAGTAGCCAAGCCTACTGAATTTGTGCCCAAGCCTTTTCTTGCTTGCGTGACCTTTTTTGTCACGTTAGAGAATACAAAGGAACTTCAGCAAGTAGTAAACACAAGCTCAAATTTTTAAAGCAGCAAAGAAGAAAACCTTTTTGAGACTGGAAGGTAAGTAAGTAAGTATTTTAGTGTTTTACAACCTAAATTTAGTGTTTCCTTTCGTAATTTTACAACGTACAGTAAATTGTCAAATCAATAACTCGAAAAGCTTACAGCTAAAATTTAACTCTTTATTAATAACCTTATACTTTCTTGATCTGATATCTCAATTAGCGATAACACCAGAAGTAATTTGCTTTTGTGGTATATACTATATGTATACCTTACTTGTTGAAGTACGTTGTCATGAAATAATGCACTTAGCAACAATTAATCTGATTACACAAAGCTGAGTCAATGTTTAAATTGTTCCCTGGACTGCCTGGACATCTGAGGCAACTGATAATGCATTTTGGGAGTGGTAGGGATGCTTACTTCATAGTGGCTATGGCTGCACCTGTCCTTGAATTTGCCCTGTTGTTTGTAATAGATTTTCCATGCATTGTCTGTTATTTTTTCAGGAAATTTTAGTCTGCAAGAAGAAAATTCTTTTACAGAAGAATCCTTTTCCTGTAACGTTTGCAACTTTTGGTTACGTTTGCCATATTTCTGATATTTTTATCATAACAGAATTTTTCACAAAAATTATTTGACATTGAATTCTTGTACAAATACTGCAAGGTCAAGCCTGCCCACCAACCCATCAAAGTGGTGTTGAAAACTGCAGTAAGGTCTATTGAATATAGTTAAAGTACTGAATTTCACTCCATGACTTACTACTACAGAATATGGGGCTTTTTTATGATTAGGTACCAAACCAAAAAAAAATGCTGTCTTGGCTCATTTGCATCAAGCCACCTAATATAATTCACAAAGATTATTTGACACTGGATTCTCATACAAATACTGCAAGGTCATGCCTGCCTACCAACCCATCAAGGTGGTGTTGAAAACTGCAGTAAGGTCTATTGAATATAGTTAGAGTACTGAATTTCACTTTATGAGTTATAATTACATTACAGGGCTTTTTTATGATTAGGTAAAAAACAAAACAAAAAAAAAGCTTTCTTGGCTCATTTGGATCAAGCCACCTAATATAATGCAATCAATGTCTTGTTTTCTGTATCGTGAGTCATTGCTCAGTTGGAATTGATATTTAAATCTTAATTATAATCCTTTAAATCCAACTGAATGTATTTCTTTCATTACTTTTCCACTGACTGCCAAACCAGCAAGCCTTGAGGCATTAAACTGTGAGGACTTTAAAAAAGGCCCTATATTGTTTACATGTAGCTTCTTTGGGGGAGGGGAGTGGTAAAGTTTCAAATTTGGTTAAGAGTATGTAACACAATAATAATAATGATAATAATATTAATAATAATTAATTTTTTCCATCCTTTGTTGCAAATGCATCTGACCCAAAGTCATTATTGGAACATACCAGAATAGCCTTTTTATTAATGCAAGGCCTCAGTGGTGCACAGATATGATATGAAAATAATTTTCTCTTGTGTGAGGCATCAGTCAATTTAGGAATTACCAAGTGTAAAATTTCAAGTCAATATGGTCCAGAAACTACTCATTTTTGTAGAGGGTGGAGCTGGGAGGGGTGGAGGGGTCGAAATTATTAGGTTTGCGTACCGTTTTCACTCTTTGCACCCTGAGCACTCATACACGCACACTTCAGATGGATGCTCAACACAACAGCGTCAAAAAATTATCAAGCAAGTTTTAACAAGATTATCAAGTTGTCAAATACTTATTTTCATATGATTGATACCAATTGCTTTATCAGGTCGAAATAAGCTTAATGTCAAGAATAAATAAGTGGATTACTACACTTACGACGAATTTTGTGGTCCGTTAAAAAAAGTACTTGGTTCAGTTACGTAGTTCACCGAAAGGTTAATTTTTTTTGCCTGCTAGGATTTCTTTTAACATTGAATACATTTTCAAGACCTGTACTCGACGAGGTGCACTTCTTGCGATTGTTCTGCAACCTAGCGAGTCCTTCGGAAAAACGTCACCGAGAGCAGAGCTAAGACTATTCAGAAGCAAGTATTTTCTAGGTTTGAAATTCCCTTCGGTTCCATTTGACCGTGAGTAGAGTTTAGAATTCTCGAAGAAAGCGTATTTTAGCCAAAGGCAGAAGATTCGTATTTGAACGGAGCGCAGCCAGATAAGGTAATATTCTTTCACGCGAAAATGACAAAAAAAATAGGGTTAACAGATAACTTCCCATTTGTTTTTTCTCGCGCAAGTAACAAAAATGTTCCCTTCCCTGTCCCCATCCAATCGCACTTCAACCAGTCGGGGGAGGTGAGTATAGAATTGTAAACAAATCATCAGAAGGCTTGGTTACCTAATTGAGCCTGGTATCTAAGCTCCTTCAGAAAGTGATCCCAAAAAAAATTTCTGCTTTCCGCCACGTTTCAGAAATACGGAAACATGTGATTTCGTCCTGTGTGTGTTATTGTGCAAGATGATCATCTCACAGCTGGAGCTTCGGCTGCCTGTGGTTAGGCTTGACTTACTACAGCGCAATGTTTAGGCCATCTTGAAAATCTAAAACTAAAGCTTAAATTCCTGGCTTTGGCCCATAGAAGGTTTCTATGTAATGTAGAAATATATATGTATATATCAGAGATAACCTTTAAAATCCTACAGCACTTATTCGAGCAAATCTCATTAATTTTGGCCTAATGTTTAAACGGTTGGGTTAGCACACAATTGGCAATTGTGTTACTAAAAATGGACCAAACAGGTTCGCTCGAGGTTAAAATTTGTTCTCCAGCTGAGGTGTTGTGTGGAATGTGATGTTTTTGATAAGAACAATTTAAAGCAAAAGAAAGCCCTTAATAAACACTCTTGCAGTACTTTATTTCTACATATCGGAAATCAACGAAGTCGTAATGTGCACATCGAGAATTAAGTTTACTATTATCGCACTTTCGGTAAACCATGGGAATATCTTTTACTCCAAATGTGAGTTAAGAAACGTCTAGTAGTTATTACTAAAACTCCCATCGCAAATGCTAAAATAAATAATTAAAGACTTCGGTTTGAAACTACACCATCAATTCTTAGACATGCTCGTGGCACAAAAAGATTGCTTGAAAAACTTCCAAACTTGGACAAAATTTCCCGTTGAGGACTCTAGGCAAGGACTAGCGAAAACACCGCTAGCGATGACAATTATCGTTTAACAGGCTTTGACAACGGTCGAGGACCAACTACTAAAAAGGTAAAAATAAATGTGTGGTCTTGAAGCACATAACAAACCAAGGCTCACGAGACTCGCATAAGGGTTCCAAAATAATCTTACAGACCTAAATAATTCACAAACTTTAAGCCAGAACATTTCTACATTTAGTAGTTGCCAAACACTTCAAAATTTAGTTGTTCATAACAATTGACGATGTGAAAATAAAAAAAAACTAAATTTCCATATTGTTAAAAGACATCTAAGAGGAAAGAAAGAAAATTATCACGTTCACACCAAAAACTGACAAAATCAAGATGTTTATCAAAATCCTTACTTAAATTTCCTAGATTGTGGATGTACGGTCGCAATTTTTGATTTCACCGGAATGTTATCGGTATGCAGACCCGGCGTTTGACCTCTCGTATCGAACTCGATTTTAACTTCAGGGCGAAATATCAATAGATGGGTGGACCCACCATAGTGAAACATGCCGAGCTGGTCACCTTTCTTCACTTTATCCTTTTCTTTAACGGTGATTTCGTTGGAGGACACCTCTACCATACCGATTGACACAAAGCACATCAAGCCAATGTCGGGATTATCAGCTTGAATGTAGATAATACCTCTGGCAGCTACTTGGGCTAGGTATCCTTGTGATATGCATATGTTCATCAATGCAAGGTCATCCTGGATGTTATGGGCTACAGAAAAATAAGAACCATCCACGAGTTCTGTCTTGTAAATGGTGCCCGACACAGGACTGTGCCATCGGTGGTAACTGGTGAGACTTAGGAACCCTTGGTAGACGGTTCCACCATAAAATTGCTTTGCAAGGTCACTCATGTTCAGGATGAAGTCCAATGAGTACCGTTGGTGCTTTATCCAGAAGAAGTCCCTGTTTTTCACGGCTGTAGAGATCTGATATGGCGCCGACTCACAGGCATTCGCAACAATGGATTCGTCGCCCGGAGATTCTACTGGACGAATGCCATCACGAAACTCTCTGGTGAAGAAATCATCCCATGATGTAAAACCATGATGTTTTTCTCTGGGCTTGCATTTGAACTCTAGGTCGAAGTTTGGCATTGCTTTCATTGCGTCTTCACCAAACCAACCATGGTGGGGATCTTCATTCAACACGTAACAAGAAGCAGAACTGGAAAGAAACTTTCCCCAATAATTGAGAATATTTTTGAACAACGTGTTGACTTTGTCGTTGAGAAAAGCAGCAAATCCAGCAGTGGTAATCATCGGCCAGTTTAGTATAACAGCGATGGGGGCGCCAACCAAAAAACCTTCCTTGTACTCTGGGGCTGTAGTCATGATGTGATCGATTAAAATAATCATCAGTTGCCAGCAAGGGATCCTTGTCCCTCTCGAACTATCTGGATTCTCGAACTGTTGCCAGAACATCTGATGGAAAAAGATGTTGATCTTGGGGTCGGAGATGATAGCTTTCAATAATTCTTGAACGGGTGGATGGAGACCGAGGTCTTCCTCTGTACCGTGAGCAACTACCGGCGGAGTTTCACCACTAGCTGTTTCTTCGTCTTCAGCTGGTGGATGAAGAGCCATCAATAACGCTAACTTATCTTTGTATTTAGTTTGGACTTCTATGATCAAGTTGGCTAACCATTTGTCGGGAAATCTGAGGTCAGACGGAATCCATTGACCAACACGATTATCGTACAACAAGCCTATTACATCGGTCGAGGACCAACTACTAAAAAGATAAAAATAAATGTGTAGTCTTGCAGCACATAACAAACCAAGGCTCACGAGACTCGCATAAGGATTCCAAAATAATCTAACAGGCCTAAACAATTTACAAACACTAAGCTAGAACATTTCTAATTTTACCAGTTGCCAAATACTTCTAAATTTTCGTAGTTCATAATAATTGACGAAGTGAAAATGGAAAAAACTCAATTTCCTTACTGTCAAAAGACATCTGAGAGGAAAGAAAGAAAATTATCATGTTCACGCCGAACTCTGTCAAAATCAAGCTGTTTATCAAAATCCATATTTATATTTGCCTAGGTTGATGGATGTACGGTCGCAATCTTCGATTTAACAGGAATATTTTCGGTATGCAGACCTGGCGTTTGACCTCTCGTATCGAACTCAATATTAACTCCAGGGCGAAATATCAGTAGATGGGTGGACCCACCATAGTGAAACATGCCGAGCTGGTCACCTTTCTTCACTTTATCCTTTTCTTCAATCGTGATTTCGTTGGAGGACACCTCTGACATACCGAGCGATACGAAGCACATCAAGCCAATGTCGGGATTATCAGCTTGAATGTAGATAATACCTCTGGCAGCTACTTGGGCTAGGTATCCTTGTGACATGCATATGTTGGGCGATGCGGGGTTATCCTGAAAGTCGTGGGTTGCAGAATAATAAGAACCATCAACGAGTTCTATCTTGTAAATGGTGCCCGACACAGGACTGTGCCATCGGTGATAACTGGTGGCACTTAGGTACGCTTGGTAGACGGTTCCACCATGAAATTGCTTGGCAAGGTCACTCATGTTCAGAATGAAGTCCAATGAGTACCGTTGGTGCTTCGCCCAGAAGAAGTCCCTCTTTTTCACGGCTGTAGAGATCTGGTATGGCGCCGACTCACAGGCATTCGCAACAATGGAATCGTCGTCCGGAGATGCTACTGGACGAATGCCATCACGAAACTCTCTGGTGAAGAAGCCATCCCATGAGGTAAAACCATAATGTTTTTCATTAGGCTTGCATTTGAATTCATGGACGAAGTTTGGCATTGCTTGCATTGCGTCTTCACCAAACCAACCATGACGAGGATCATCAGTCAACACGTGACAAGAAGCAGAACTGGAAAGAAACTTTCCCCAATAATTGAGAATACTTTTGAACAACCTGTTGACTTTGTCGTTGAGGAAAGCAGAAAATTTAGCAGTCGTAGCCATCGGCCAGTTCAGGATTACATTGATAGGGAGACCAACAAAACTGGTTTTGTTGTACTCTGGAGCTGTTGTCATGATGTAGTCGATTAAAATAATCATAAGTTGCCAGCAAGGGATCCTTGTTCTTTTCGAACTTTCTGTATTCTTGTACTGTTGCCAGAACATCTGATGGAAGAACATGTTGATCTCGGGATCGGAGATAATAGCTTTCAATAATTCTTGAATGGGTGGATGGAGACCGAGGTCTTCCTCTGTACCGTGAGCAACTACCGGCGGAGTTTCACCACTAGCTGTTTCTTCGTCTTCAGCTGGTGGATGAAGAGCCATCAATAACGCTAACTTATCTTTGTATTTAGTTTGGACTTCTATGATCAAGTTGGCTAACCATTTGTCGGGAAATCTGAGGTCAGACGGAATCCATTGACCAACACGGTGAGGTTTGGAGCTCATGATTATGTTGCATGTAGTTCGCGACTCGTTTTGCTCGTAAATGATATACTTCTGTTGAATGTGTCTGCTTTTAACAAGCAAGGGCAATTGACGCTGGAATGCATGTGCGTGCAACCATGCTTGGGAAGCCTTTGTCTGGAAATTTTTCCTGCCTGATACAGGATAAAAGCTTTTTGTCTAGATGACAGGAATTAATCGTATCTTCCTACCTGATAAAGGATAATAGCTCATTGTACAGGAGACAGGCCTCTTTCAAACTGTGAACATCAACAGGTTATTGAGGCTTGGTCTATGTCGGCAATATCCTGGAGTGTGAAAGACATATTCTATGTTCCATGTGAACTAAACAAAGTAAAACATTTTGGAGACGTCTACATGCAGGTTATCTTATCGGAGTATACAAGAATAAGGGAATAACCGCCTTTCACTCACTTTTTACGGGAAAATTTACTGATTTTCCCGTATGTGTTATTCGGAACATATTTACAGTCGTAAACTTTCACATTTAACCATTTCAAGTCCTTTCATGTTAATAAATCAAAAAATGCATAAAAAATCACAGTAGCTTTTGAATAGATTTTTGTTGTTACTCGCTTTCATCATATGCACCTGCTTGTCGGCACTTTTGTTATTTATTACATGGTTTTTTTAGGTAAATATAAGTGTTAATGGTCTTTCTGGAAACATTGGTTTTCATGGTAGATAGCAGCTGAGTTTATACTCGTAAATTTAATTTCTTTTCATGCGATGGTTTCCAAACCAATCTTGCATAAATAAGCAGAAACTTTTAATTGCTTTTCCGTTTTTTTTATTTCCTGAGCTGCGCTACTGCAATTAAGATAGGTATTGTTTTCTATATCAGAGCTGTAAATTCGCACCTAGGTTTCCTACTTTAATGGCCTAGAGTTTATTGCATCCGTCTTTTTAATTTTGAGATTCTTTCCGTCGTAGAAACAGATGGAATATTTAAGTAGTTTTCGTTTAACTTCAAAGAGACTTTTTTCCGCTCCTTTGTGTCCTTATTCAAATATTACGATTTGTGTAACAATAGCACCTCACAACAGTTAGTTCTTAAGCAAGTACCTTGTACAGCTTTGATGATTACAAACTAGAATATGCTAGAGGTCATGTCGCTTGTTGGCCTGACCTAGAATAAAAGTACTGTGGAGCCAAAGATTGTCTTATCCTTGACGTCCGTATAAGCTCGCTCGAAGCAGATCTCCGTGTACCAGGAAATCGTGACGAGTTTCCGTTCTCGCTGCCAAGTCGTCTCTACAGAGTTATTTCCCCCAGTTGTTATTGTGCCGTCCGCGAAGATTCAGTTTTCCAGTTTTGGGGCGAAAAACTATCGTCACACACTTTTTGAGGGGTCATTTTTTCTTGAACGTTAGTACAATTAACTGAAGTGGTTCACCGAAATAGACACTCTTTGTTGTCTGTTTGAATATCAGAGATGTGTGTCTTTGTTTGAATCATTGTGGGAGTGGCCTAAGTAAAATTATTCCGAGCAAGAACATTTTGGCTTTCAATAGTCTTCCAGTACGTAGTCCGTGGATCATAACATAAATGTCAACCTGATTTTGAGATCACTTTCAAAATATGTTGAGAGAGTAAGATACAATTAATTCGTAGCCAAACGCAATTTTAATGAGAGTTCTATCAAATCTTTTAATGAGTAGACTTATTCCAATTCTTTAAACTGTAACGTTTATGTTTAACTGACTCCTGTTTTACCACATTAACTTTGATTGAGAGTCAGAGCGGTGAAATATCGAAATATTCTTTTCAAACATTCCTGCTAACAACATCACGATCAAAACAACACTTTCACACGAAAAAAAGCTTAGTTCTTAGTGTACCTGTTCAAACAACACGTCAATATTGCGTAGACATTGACACGCAGTGCTATTTTTAAATTCGATTGCCTATTTGGAAAAGCGCTTTGGTGACCACTGACCTAGCCTACTTGCGATTCTTTCGACTGAGAAAAAAAATCACTCTTTCTTCACGCTTGCAGTGTAACTTTCTCTTAAAGAAATCTGTAAAAACCTTGAGACTGCGGCAAGTGATCCAACTTTTTTCGTCGACCGTGGCACTGTTTACAAATGCAAGCAGAAACCGCGTGGATTTCATTAGCGCGATGCTGATCGAACATCGTCCTTTTCTTACTCTATACCAAACATCGCTCATAATCTTTTCCTATATCCTTAAAGCAAAATATTTATTTGAAATCGGACGCTGAATTACAAATTTACCTGAAAAATGGAAAATGAATTCACGCTAACACGTGCCACTTCGCCAAAAATTTTGCATAAATTATATCAAAGTCTCCAAACCAACATTATGAGAATCGTTCAGCAGACATTAAGGATAATTACCAATGAGATTTTGGGGTTTAAAGGGTTAAGCTCATATGACAGAGAAGGGGCGGGAAAAGTAATACGCACGCAAAGCACATAATAATTCAACTTGTGGCGCGTAAATGGTAGCTACACCTTCACCCTCCCCTCCCCCCCTGGATGGTGATAGTAGGTTTCTTTAAGTTCCAAGCTCATTTTAAAACACATTCAAGTCATGCGTTATCTTCAGCTCGTGGATATTGCAACAAACTAATCTCCTGTGAATTTCATTGATTTAGGTCAATGTAATCTTGTAAGGCTGATTTTCCTTAATTTTGTTTGACCCTTTACCTCCCATGAGTGACCAATAGAAAAATTTTTCCTCACGATATTTAGACAATATCAAGCCTAGAAGCGATTGGAAAAACGAAAAATATTAATTAGGGCACTGTTAGTTGTTCCATTACCAAATTTTCCAAATTGACGTCATAAAAATTGTATGGCAGAAAGTAAGGGGAATAACCAATGAGATCTTGGAGTTGAAGGGTTATAGATTTTCAGTTGAAGAGTTCTGTGACCGAGCTACAGCCAGCTAAGTACTCAATTTTAATACTATATTTTAGGGTTTGTTTACCTGCCGAAAAGTCCATGTATCGCCAATCGCAATTTTGTGTTTTCGACGACGCTTTTAATCTTTTTTAAGTTATGTAAAGTCTCTCGAAATATATCTTATTTCAGTTGGTTACACATATTTGGATTGAGCGCCGTCTTGTCTAAGAATGCCATCCCTTCAAAAATGAGGCAAATTTTCTCTGTACGTAGTGCTGAAATTTCTTCTTTATTGAAGGCTGCATATTGCTAAAGTCAGTCTTAAAATATTTGTTAAATATCGTATCCCCAAGGGATTATGCTTGATGCAAAATCAGATTACTAAAACTGGTCGAATTGAATGCGGTTCTCTTTAAAGATACTAAGCCTATGATGATAACTCATTAATTTAATTCGGCAGAATTTTTGTTTGCAATGTTTAGGTCATCTTAAATTCCCGGCTCGGGCATAAAGAAGGTTTCTATGTAATATAGAAATATATATATATATATATGTATTTCCAAAGGGTCTTGATATTAGCAGGCAAGTCAAGAATTTAAAGAAAGCGACAAAACT